CCCAACCCCAACCCCAACCCCAAACCCCAACCCCAACCCCAACCCCAACCCCAACCCCAACCCCAAACCCAAACCCAAACCCAAACCCAAACCCATGAACCAACCCCATCCTTCATTTGGGCCAAATTTGTAACAGCCCCAACCATATTATATACCAGGGGGTAGTGAGAGGGTAATATGCACCAAACCCAACCCCAAATGTCTCGTTTTCAAAAAATTACCTAGTGAAATTTTCTAAATGTTTTTGAACCAAAAATAAATATTTTTTAATAAAATTAGGTAAATATAGAATTCTATTTTTTTGAAAGTAAATTCTGTATAAAAAACTCAGCAAAATTATATCTTAAATATTTGATAAACATAGAGTTGCAATAATTTATATATACAATATTAAATAAGTAAACCTAATAATATATTATAAAATAAACAATCAGCCTATAAACAATATTAAATTATAATAAAAGCAGTATATTTTATAGAAAATAAAGAAGATCATTATAACTATATATTATTTTGATATTAAAGAATAGACATATTAATGTATAATAATTTAAATAACAACAAGAAATTAGTTATCGAAAAATACAATAAAAATGAGCCGTGTTAATATATAAATTTAAATAATAACAAGCCAAATTTATATATAAAATTAGATATATAGATGTGATGGGTATAAATCCGGATTGGGGCAAAACCCTGAATAGATTTAAGTCTTCATAAATGTAACAGAAATGAATTCGAGTTTTGTAAAGATAATATGTATTCAATATAATTAATTTATAATCTCAAAATTTTTACATTACACAAAATTTCTGATACGAATTATTTTAATATTTTACTTTGTTATGATTAAAAAATGCTTTTAGGTTTTTCAAATATAATCTAAAATATTATCGTTAATTGGACTATTTATTTAATAATTCTGATTTTTCTTGAAAATGTATTAGAATAAATACAAAATATTGAACTCAAGATATTTGAAGGAAGTTATTTTCTTAAAAATTAATAATATTTTAAGTAAATAAATTAATGTTAAACCTAACTTTGAAAGCATAGTGATCCTAAAATAAACTAAAAAATATATAAATCTAAATTGTTATGCTTAAAATTTTTGACTTTATATCCCAATTATCAAGTATTAAGTAAAAAGATTAAAGCAATGTGAAAAAAATCACAATATCTTTTCATTTTTAAGTAGATTATATTGTGTAAATAAAAATTAATAATAAAAATTATTGATGAAGATATTTTTCATTTTAAATTTGTTTTCTTTGTTTGAGATTTTATCTCCCTAGTTTCTAACTGGAATGAGTTAGGAATATTAAAAAGAAGAGATGGATATAGATCTATAAAAATTATTAATAGACGATAAAGGAATATTCCTTGGGCTCTGGTCTAGATATAGTCCCTTAGGTATAACAAAATAAATAGGAATTGTTGGATTAATGGACAGCAATTGCTTTCATTATTAGAGTATAATTGGAAAATCATCGAGGAGTTTGGAATTAATTTATTATGATTGCCTTAATATTGAAAGTTAAACAGTATCAAAATTTGTAATTTTTAACACTATAGAGGGTCACTAACATATATATCAAATTGATATCGACCCATTTGAGTACGAAGGTGTCTGGTATTTATTTGAATTATTATATTATCCTTAAAAAAGTTTATCAGAATTCTTAATTGTAAAAGAGAATGAAATTTTAATTAAGAAAAAAGTAGAAACTATTCTTTTTTAAGAAAATTCATTAAAACTAACTATTGGAAATAGTTTAGTAGTACAAAATTCAAATCTTAAATCACTAGAAGTAGGGTCAAAATTTTCCTATTTTCCAGGGAAAATGTATATGATTAATTATATCCCTAAAAAGTTATCTGGCAATAAATTAGAGATAGAATCTTATGTAATGTTTTTTGAAGAAGTCTCAAAAATTTTTAGCGAAGATTTCATAACTACTAAAATATCTGATTAAGATTTATTTTGGTTGGATGTTTAATCTATTATTCCAGAAAATTCTAATGCTGATTCATTTATATTGGCAGGGTGGTTTAGAATTATAAAAATAAATCAAGTTGATGATGAGTTTACATATCAATTTCTTAAAATGTGTAAAAATACTAAATAAGAACAATTATAAAATCCTAACTTATCTCCATTTTAATTGTTCTATAAGATATCCCCAAACAATAATAAAATTATCATTACTACTTATAGTTACAATTACCCATCTGTTTCTTTAGATTTTACTAATAAAGATAACAATTTTATTCTTACTAAAGAATTTGAATTAAATCACAAAATTACTCTTTGGCATCATTTAATTGTTAATCTAATTTAAGATTAGATATCAATTTAAATTAACTTTTTTGATTCTAAAGATGTATTTTAATATTCTTCTACCCATATAGTCAGATAATTCAGCTTTGTATAATTTTTAATACAATATGGAAATTTAATGAAATCATATAAGAATTATTTAGATATTTAAACAAGAAATAATTATTTTAATAATTTCTAATAATCAATAAAAGAGCCTAATTGCCAGTTTACGTGCTAAGATTGTGATGGTCCTACAAATACAGATTGTTTATCATGTTCTGAATCTTCAAATAGAATTTACGTATCAGAGCATAAAGCCTGTATTTGCCCTTATAATTATTTAGATGATCAAATAAATTAGAATTGTCTATCATATAATAATTTATCATTGACTCTAAAAGATTAATACAATGAAGATTAATGTAAATTTGGTTATTTTGAGTATGACGATTCATGCTATTTATGGTAAATTATTTTTTAATATTAAGCCCTACAATTATTTCAGATAAATTTACAACTTGCTTAGAATGTGTATCGAATGTAAAAGGATGGAAAGATAATGCATATTGTCAAACTATGATCTATTTAAATCCTAATGGAAATACAGTAAGGAAAATAGTTAGCTTTGATGCAGAATATTTTTTATTTGATGGTTAAGGACCAATTAAGTGTAATTCATGCTTAAAATAACAGTTTTCTAAAATTGACTCTATCTACTAACTTTTCTATTAAGTGGAATAAAGATTTAAAACTTTTTGTCAATATTAGAGTTACATTTATTATGAAAGTTTTAAAATAAATTATTGTTATGAATGTTAGATTGATTATTGTCAATTATGTTAAATAGAAATTACAGGAATAAAATGTATTAGATGTTTAGGAACCTATTAATTAATAAATGGAATATGTACACCAGAACTTTCAGGTCCATCTTACCTAACAAGTTGCAGAACTCCATATTATCAAAGCTCGATTAAAAAATGTAAATTATGTCCTATTAAATATTGTATATATTGTTTTGAATATCAATAAGATGATTTAGAAAAATGTACTTTATATGCTGACTTTGATATATTTGAATTAGATGATTAAACAAGGATTGGATGTGCGCTTTGTGAAGAAAATTTCACTTACGATTTTACTATTGGAGAATGTATTTTTAAACAACCTTCCTAACCTAATTGTTTACGTTCTTTTATTAATTCTTACAATTAAGAAATATGCACTTTATCATCAACTGATTTCAATATAGCATTAGAAATAGTTAATTGTGGTAAACTAATTGAAAATTGTTTATAATGTATTCTCACTCCTTGGTATGAGCTTAAATGTATTATTTGTAAAATAGGCTTTACAACTTCTGTTAGAAGGGGAAATTGCTATGCATATTCTTCAGAAAATGCAATAATTGTGATTGATGGAGATAATTATGAATACGATTCTTGGATTTAGAGGGTCTAAAGCTTTTTAATGAAATTTTTGCCAAACCAATATTTTTATTAAAGAAAATATATTAGCTATGATAATCAAGGAAACAATATCATAAATCAAATCTATTATTCAATTGAATGTTAAGAAGGATACTCCTAAAATTACCTCTTTAAATGTAGGGCTTATTGCTCTTAAGAATGCTTAAATTGTAAAGAGGATTAGAGAGAATATGAATTTTATTGTACATAATGCCCATTAAATTATTATTATTAACCTATTCGTAGTTTAGCAAATAGGTAGTGTATTAGATGTCCTGAACTATGCGAAGTTTGTGAAGAAAGATCTGAAGCTGAAATCTAAGTAACTTTGTTTATTTTATTTTAGAAACTCAATCCATACTTCCAGATAACAGCAGAAAATAGAATGTATTCTTATAAATGCATTAAGGCAATTTCAAACAAGAATGTTTAAATAGATTCTTATCTTTAAATTGCTAAATTTTGCTTTACTCCTTAATGCGATTTAGAATTCATTTATAATTATACAATTTTAATACCTGAACATAGAAAATAATATATTCTTTATTGCAATTAAATAGGATTAAAAGTCTTGAAAATTTAATATAATTTGTATAACCCCTATTAACAAGTTTTTCATTAAAATAGTTTAAAAGAATAAATTTTTGGTTTATAATTAATGAAATTTGAATAAAATCTCTTTTACAATGGAGTTGCTTTTAGAGAAATCATTGGATTTGATTTTATAGAAATCAATGATGCCTATTTGTTTGAAAATACAAAATAATATATATTTTCAAATGATGGAAAAAAAGTTGATCTCATCTTAAATAACATAGTTGTTGAAAAAAAGTAAATTAACAACATACCCTCTCTATTTAATTTAGAATTATTTGGAGATATAACTTTTAATAACATAACTTTGATTGATAATAATTTTAGTAGCTTATCATTATTTAACTTTAATTAAAAATTGTAATAAGGTACGATAAAAATATCCAAAGTGATTTTTTAAAATTGTCACATTTTAAATTCATAACTTTTTTCCTTTTTTAATAATCAAGTTTAAATTTAAATTGAGTAATTAATTATAAATTAGTCCTTTTTTTCAAACTCATCGTTTATAACTTTTGCTAAGAATAATAATAGCGTGAGTAAGTTGGAAGTTAAGGGAATAACAATAACATCAAGTCACTTTCATAGATCATATATTTTTTATTGTTCTAATTTAGAAGATATTATTATAAATAATGTCATATTTGATAATAATACAATAATTCTTTCAACAATTTTTGCATTTAACAAGAATTTTACCTTGTTTAATGCCTAAGTTATTAGTAATCATTTTTTTGAATCTTAATTTATTGCAACTTTGGAAACAGAAAACAAGACTAAGATATTTTGTTTTGTCGACAATTAATTAGTTAGCCAAAATGATTTTACAATCTCTAATCTATTTTTGATATCAAATTAGAATATGTATTATAACTTAAGAACAGTTAGAATTTAATTCAACTAAGGATACTCTAATTAATATAAAGAAAATATTCTATTTAACATTCATTGTTATAAACTAGAAATTGAGAATATTTACATAGTTGATTCAAATAAGATTGGGATATTTTATTTTTTTGAAGTTTTTGAAATATTTGCATCAAATATAGTTTATGAAAATCTAAAAATTAATAATAAAGTGCCTTCAGATATAAATTGTATGGATTTCCACAATTTTAATTATCAATTACTCTTAATTTCTGGATATTCAATTGTTAAACTTAAAAATATTAAGGCTATTAAATTATTTAGTATTGATACATAATTAATAGAAATATCATCAATGAAAGAAAAATGGATTAATCAAATTTCAATTATAGAACTGATAAATTTAGAATTTATTGGAAATTTATTATTGCATTCGTCTTAAGGCAGCTATTTTTCTTTAATGGCTATAAATTCTGAGTATGATGCTAATATTTAATTCTAAAATATTTTATTGGAAAAAAATTTTATTCATTAGTAAACAGATGATCCTCAAGATTCAAGAGCAGTATTGATTCATGTAGACGAATAATGGGGACATAAAAATTAACAATTTCTAATGTTCATATAATGCCCTGACCAATTCTTCAAATTCATTCATATTGTTAAAATCTAAGATCATCACATTAACAAATTATACTGTTTCACATCAAAACGTAATACCGTATGAATTATGGAATTTATATTATGATGTATAATTAGAAAATAATCAACTAGGAGATGAATAACAATAAACAAATTTAATCATATTATAACGTTTTAAGATGTTAAATAAGTGTGGAGCTGGTTTAATAACTTCATCTATTTTTTCTTGCTTTAATTGTTATTTTTAGGATGTTATTGGATTGAAAAGTTCTATATTTGAGATAAAAACCTAAGGTGAGGGAATTATCTACTTCAAAAATTTAACGATAAACTCTTCAGAATATGATATAAGTGAAATAATAGATAGCACAGGTTGTATTGCAATATATTCATCTAATAGTTTGCTCGATTTAAAAATCATTAATGCAGTATTTACTAATATATTTAATCGTATGACAGCTTCAATTCTTACAATAAGTTCCTCTTTTAAGAAAAATTAAATTTTAATTTAAGATGCACTTATAAAAAATTGTATTTCATTGATGAATCCCATACTACAGATATTATTTTCAACATAAAATATTGGAGGAAACAAAGTTGTTATAAAAAATGTAACTATAAACTTTTAAGAAAGTGCTTGGATCCAATACTTTTCAAAGACCGGAATGTTAAATAACAACGAAATTTTAGATGTAACTACTTCTTCTAATGCTTTAATTCAATTATAAAATTGTATTGTGGTTATGTCTAAGATTCTTTTTTAGGGTCTTTTTAGTTGTCCTTTAATTAAATTAAAAAATATTTAATATTTATTAATCTCATAATTATGGGCTATAGAAATTAAAGTGCTTTATAATATGAATCTTTTAGAATTAAGCCAGGATTTATCAATTAAATCAACGATCAATATTAAATATGCAAATTTCTAAAGTATCTAAATTTATGAAGTTATTAATAATCCTATTTATTAAAGTTCCAAAAGAAATTATATGAGTTCAGGATGTCTTTTTATTGAAAAATAATAATAACAAGTAACTTATTCTTTTGGCAAAATTATTCAACTTTTTTAATAATTCTAGAAGGCAAGTGCTATAATCTTATTGTAATCAAACTCAAATAACACAGCTTTTTATATTTAAAATGTAATTCTAAATTCTATTAATTGTTCTTACTGTAAGAATGGATTGATTTTTTTCAATATTGAAAACTATAAAATACTAAATATTAGAGATCTAATTTCTCATTCTAACCATATAAAAGAAAAAGGATGTATAAATATAGCTTCAATTGATTAGATCAATCATAGTAGTTTAATAAAAAATTCTAATTTTTTTAATAATTATGGTGGTTCTGGAATAGCTATACATTTATCCAAGATCCCAATTACGATTATTTAGTGTATTATAATTAATAATATCGCCAGCAATTAAGGTGGTGCCTTATTTTTGGATATGGATATGTAATATTTGATTATTAAGAAATCATCAATTATCAATAACTATGCATCTGAAGGAGGTGGTATATACTTATTCTAGAAGGGAAATATAAATTTATAAAACATGATTCAAACCTTCATTTAATTTAACAAAGCAGACTTATTCTCAGATAATTTATTTGAATTCCCAACCCATTTAAGTCTATTTATTAATTAAAAAGAAATGCAAGCATAAGAACTTTAAATTAATATCGGTAAAATAAGGGTACTAAAGCTTAAACCTTATAAAACAATAGAGTAAGGTGTTATTAAATTTAGTCAAGATTTAATGATACCAAGTTAACAAATAATCAAAAAGTATAAAAGTTATGTACCATAATTATAAACTGTTTAGATTTTATACAATGATCCTTAATTAATGTTAAAAAATAGCAGAAATGAATTATAAAAAAATTCACATCAATTTAGTTGCTAAGTTTCATAAGCAACGACCAGAATGAATTAAGCTAACTTATATGAAAAGAATACTTTGATTGATATTCTTTAAACTGATGGATTCAATCACTTTGACTTAGGATCCCTTTAATTTCATTATGATCCATATCAAGATGAAAATCATAAATTAGAAATATTAGTAAATTGCACATCAAATATTTCAGAAAGGCAACTACTTTATTAAATCAATGCAAGAACTTATAAATGTTAATTAGGAGAATTCTATATAGATGAAGGCTGTTAAATTTGTGAATCAACTTTTGGATTTTATTCAGTAACTTATGATGTTACTAAGTGTTCGATATTTGATAAAACGAAATTTGCAAAAATAACTTCAAATGCAATTAATTTATTAGAAGGTTATTGGAGGCCAAATATATACTCTGATTATATTGATTATTGTTTCAAGAACATTTTATTTTGTAAGGGAGGTTGGGGAGTAGGAGACGAACTTTGCTCTTTGGGGCATCTTGGAGGGCTGTGTGAGGAATGCGATTTACATAATAAAAAAGGGGAAGGAAATTTTTTTAAAAATTAATAGGATTCCACATGTAAAAATTGTTCTCTGAATTCTATCACTCCGTTAATTTTGTCTTTTATTTGGTATTAATATAAACTATTAAAGGGCTCTGGTGTCAATAGTGATCACATTAAGAAGCATTGAAAAATCTAATTTATTATTTTCTAAACTTTAATTTAAATTAAGATTTCGAAAAATCTTATTTAAGTTGGAAAAAGGTATCATAATTGTATTTCTATAAATTAGACATGGAAGGCATTTTCATTAAGATGTTGTTCATCTATTTATGGATTTTCTCAGTCATATTTACTTTTAATATCAGATTTTCGATTTCATTTTAATTTATTGATTAAGCTAGTAATACTTCTTTATTCATGGCCTCCAGTCTTGATTGCTATATATCAGAAGTTAACTAAATTGAAATTATTTATGGAAGAATATTTGTTACTATTTTCTTGATACTTATTTAATTTGCTATAATTTTGATAGGATATCAAATATATATACTCATCTATAAAGGAAGATTTCAAAACTATATTGTTTCAAATACATTATTATATTTATACGTATCAAATTTTTCTGGATTAATTAAATCGTATAAAATTATTTATAATTAGATTTTGTTCAATAGTCTCCAAAAGAATAATATCAAATATAGAATATATCTAGGGAGATTTAACTTTAATTTATGGTTCCTTAAATCATATCTAATGGATTTATAAATTTGCTCTTCCTGGATTAGCTGTATTGGGATTTTGTATTCCATTTTCTTTATTTTGGTTTATGTTTTTAACCAAAAAGAGATTTAATAAGATTTAATTTAGAAGACATATATGTTATTTGTTTGATGAATACAATGAATAAAACTACTTTTGGGAACAAATCAAATTTTCAAAAAAAATTATAATAATCCTCGTTATGACATATTTTGAATCCAATATACTCTTAAAAGCAACTTTGCTAGGATTATTTTTATTAATATACTAGATAATTGCAGGAAGTTAATAACCTTATAATTTAAAAAAGCTTAATAATTTGGATATTTAAGCAGTGCAAATATGCTCTGTTGCTATTTTTGTAGCTATTGCTAAATATGTGAATGATTAGTAAATTGAAAATGCTTACTCTCAAATAATGTAAATAATTATTATGCTTCTTTGTGTTAAACTATGTTATCAGTTTATTTTAGATATCTTTAGAGCTTTCATTAAGAAATATAGAGTATACTTCGTAACTATTCTCTATCATTTTATCAAATCAATAAAACCAAATTCAAAAAATTCAGTTTACCTTGATAACTTACTTATAAAGTTGAATATGAAAGAAAAAAGAGTTTAATCAAATTTTTAAACTTTAAAAAAACAAATATTAAAAATATTAAAAGCATAAAGAAAGATTTAAAAGTAAAATTTCAACTTATAAAAATAGCTCATTTTTTTCTGTTTCTTCAAATAACAATTTTGCATCATTAATAAGATATAAGCAATTACACCCAAATAAGAATAAAATCTTATTAACTTTAAAATCATGATTATTGTTATCATAATTATAAATTTCAATTTCTTTTAATAATATTATCTTGTTAAAATTAAATTCATTCTACTCTACAATTGCAAAATATTTTTATGGTTATAGAATTATATCCAAAATATCAACTTGAATTCTACTGATTTATAACCTTCTAATTATAGTGTCTTATCCTATTATATTTATTGATAATGATTATAATATGTTATTATTTATTTGATGTATCATTCACAATTTCTTGCATTATTGCAGTGTTTACACACATTACCATTTTTTCAAACTTATTCCTTGGCATATAATATATTTTCACATTTATTATTAATATAATTAATAGATTAATGTTAATAAATAATAATTACCCAATAAGGAAATATATTTATTAGACTTTAATATTATTCAAGTTTTTTATATAAGGAAGTTTCTTCTACTGTAATATCTATTTTATCTCATTGAATAAAATAATAAATAAAATTATAATATCTGCAAATACAAACAAAATTATGGTTTTTATGAAGGAAATTGAAAAAATTGTACAAATGGTTATTGTCAGAAATGCTTATAGAAAGATTTTTATTCATGTATAAGTGATTAGTCTTATGGGTTATTATCAGATCTAATGTAGACAAAGACCAGAATGTTAGTAAATTTTTAATTTTTTTGCAAACCAAGTTTTTATTATCCTTAATATGAAGATTAGATATGTCTTTGTAAATTTGCTAATATATTTAGTCAATGATTATTCTTGCAAAAATTGTTAAGGTCTATCAAAACTAAAATGATATAGTAGAATAAAATCGTCTTTTTTCTGAAACTTTTACATCATTTACAAATTCTATGATTTTATTGAACATAATTCACACTTAATTTCAAATTATTACATCTAAGACATGAATAATGACATTCTACAACAGATTGAATTATAGATACTTTAACCAATTTTATTTGATCCATTATCAAGATATCTTTGAATGCAATAGCATCTATTAAAACTAGAAACTAAATATCTAAAACTATTATCTTGACATGAAATACAGCTATCAGACCCATTTAGAAGTCTTCAATTATTAAAAATTGGATTTCTTTATTAAATTATTTTATTCTATTAATATTATAAATTTAAATTTCCACATTTTTTTATTAAACTGATTAAAAAATCAATAAATTATTGATCAACTTATTGATCTTATTATTTTATTTGTTAATTCTTTCAAAATCAAATTAAATGGTTAATTGAGCAATAATTATTTTTTCATTTAACTATTAAAAGGTTGAAGGAATATCAAAAACCCAATTATGGACTATAGTATAATCTGCTTCAGGAAAAGGTTTTAATCTGAAACAAGTAGGATTCTAGATCATAATATTATCAAGTAGATAATTGTAGAAAATTA